CGCTGAACGCGACAGCATGCGGGCCGCCAGCCGAGCGCGGGGTGCAGCAAGACCACCTAGCAGCCCCCCGCATCCATCATCCCCACCAGAAGGCTTGGTGTCGGCTGGGTCTTCTCGGACTCAGCAAGCGGCTCCCGCCGCTGGTGTAGCACGTCGCTTGCGTTGGTCACAATTAATGAACGCAAACGCACTGCGGGCTTCCTTTAGGGCAAAAGGAGAAGAAACTGGATGTTTGGCGTATCGGGCTCAGATGCATCGCTTTTTTCGCTGGAGCCATCTCTATCCGTCACTGAGCAAAAGCTGGCAGACCGAGTTCGGTACATCCTGCGCTCCAACATATTTGGTGACGCTGAACTCGACCGACTACGACGTGATGCTGTTCCCTCATCGAATGAAAATGCTACGGCTGGGAATGTGGCGCCACTAGATGCGCAGCAAACTGCATATGTGGATGCTGCCGTCAATATTCCATTTGTGGTTAATTCAGTCTCCCACGAACTAGAGAAAATGATGAGCATATTGGAAGAGTCGATGCTGGAAACGCGCAGCATGCTTCTCGAAAATCGGCCGCGACTTACCCGCATACCCCTTAGCAAGCGAAATCGGGCTGTCGTGCGGGCTCTTAACGCAATGCTGGTAACCTATTTGGAAGCCAGCCTGGACCTATGCCAGACGGACTCAATCCTTTTTGGCGCCGCACTGGCAGTATGTCGTATTATTGGCGCCAAACTTCCCATGGCTGAACGTGCTACTCAACAAAGTAGGGCCATCCCAGCCTGGAGAAAAAGAATCGAGGACCGTATCGCAAATGCAAGGGCCCTTATCGGCAGACTGACAAGCTTCAGGTCGGGTAATAATAGACCGAGAGTTGTGCGCGCCGTTAGAATGGCGTTTTCTGGGACAAATATTTATTTCTTTATTTATTTATTTATTTGTTTGTTTGTTTGTTTGTTTGTTTGTTTGTTTGTTTGTTTGTTTGTTTGTTTGTTTGTTTGTTTGTTTGTTTGTTTGTTTGTTTGTTTGTTTGTTTGTTTGTTTGTTTATTTATTTATTTATTTATTTATTTATTTATTTATTTATTTATTTATTTATTTATTTATTTATTTATTTATTTATTTATTTATTTATTTATTTATTTATTTACTTATTTATTTATTTATTTATTTATTTATTTATTTATTTATTTATTTATTTATTTATTTATTTATTTATTTATTTATTTATTTATTTATTTATTTATTTATTTATTTATTTATTTATTTATTTATTTATTTATTTATTTATTTATTTATTTATTTATTTATTTATTTATTTATTTATTTATTTATTTATTTATTTATTTATTTATTTATTTATTTATTTATTTATTTATTTATTTATTTATTTATTTATTTATTTATTTATTTATTTATTTATTTATTTATTTATTTATTTATTTATTTATTTATTTATTTATTTATTTATTTATTTATTTATTTATTTATTTATTTATTTATTTATTTATTTATTTATTTATTTATTTATTTATTTATAAGGTACACCAACAGCAAAACACATTAAACATTAACAACAACACAATAACAAATGTATATGGTTAAATATGTTTGCCAATTACAGGTATACACAACATTTACCGTAATGTGCAGCTCATTACACCACAATGGCACTGAATACAAAACAAAACTTACATAAAAAAACTAACTAAAGAATGAGTGTATGCTGAGAGGGTAAAAAGAAATTGGTCAATTTTTTTTGAAGCTTCGGGCAGAGTCGTTGAAAATGTCGGTATCTTGGTCATAATTTCATTGTATTCTGGCTAGGGGATAATGCGCGCCTAAATTAGTTTTGTGGCAAGTTATGCTAAATAGTTTGCGAATTGGATATCGAGGATATCTGTACGGGATAACTAATTTAATGTGATCGAGGAGTTGCGTACTTTTGATTTTGTTATGCAGTAGCTTGTGTAGGAACATTAAGTCTGCAATGAGACGTCGGTCACGTAAGGTTGTCATTTTGAAAAATGCTAGCCTCTGACTATAGGGGTATCTATGCGATATGCCTGGAGTTGAAAAGGCAAGGTGGCGTGTAAAAGCTCTTTGAATCGTTTCGATTCGCTGAGAAGACGCACTATAAACTGGGTTCCATGCAACACTTGCAAATTCGAGGTGGCTACGTACTAGTGCATTGAAAAGAACTTTCTTAGTTTGGACACATCGGAAGCTTTTCGCGTTTCTTTTTAGGAATACCAACATACGAGTCGACTTTTTGACGATATTATCAGTGTGAGCGGTCAGTTTCAGCTTACAATCCAACAAGACACCAAGGTCCCTGATCTCCCTCACCTCCGCCAAGGTCACGTCACCCAATGAGTAGGTAGTAGTGATGGGGCGTCTTTTTCTGGTGTAGCTTATGTGGTAGCATTTATTAGGATTTAAAATCATTCCGTTGATTGCACACCAATCCATGAGTTTGTTTAAGTGAGATTGCAGAAGGTCCATCCGGGAAGCATCCCCGGGACTTTTGATCGTTCTACTCAATTTGAGATCGTCAGCAAATATAGATACACTACTGTTTTCTATATATGTAGCTATGTCATTAATAAATATCAAAAAGAGTAGAGGACCCAAGTGGGACCCCTGAGGGACACCGGACTTAGCCAAAAACATTTCAGATTCAAATCCATCTATAGCCACTTGCTGAGGTCTCATTGCTAGGTAAGATTCGAACCACTGCAACAGTGAACCACTTATGCCCATTACTCTTAGTTTATACAGCAGGACTTGGTGGCCGACTTTGTCGAAAGCACTTGAAAAGTCTGTGTATATTGCATCTACCTGCAGTCCTCTGTCCACGTCCTGTGCTACCACGGACACGAAGGAAGACAAATTAGACTCTACCGAACGACCACGCCTGAAACCATGTTGGAAGTCGGATATAATGTTTTCAGTATGGCTGTGGACTATGGGGTAAACAAGGCATTCAAATAATTTAGAAAAGCACGATAAAATGTAAATAGGTCGGTAGTTGGTAACATCAATCTTGTCACCTTTCTTATAAATTGGGATAATTCTGGCTATTTCCATTCATCGGGAAACTTTCCATCGCTTAAGGAGCGATTAAATATTAATGTCAACGGGAAGGCAAGAACGGATCCACATCGTTTCACAAATAGGGGTGGTATATTATCAGGCCCAGGTCCCTTTTTATCATTGAGGTGTTGTATTTTTTTGTACACTTAAGACTCGCTCAATTCAAGTGTAACGATGGAATTACACATGTTCGCAATATCATGACTATGAGAAACATCGGTAACGCTATTATTGGTGTAAACGGAAGAAAAGTGACTTGCTCTAGGTTCGCTATATCGGTGCCTGAGGATGCAGTTGAATCTTTCAATATCATTTTAGCGGGAAGTATAGAAAGACCTTTGCGCTTATCATTGATGAAACGCCAAAATTTGTCCGGATCTTTACAGATGCTAGACTCAATTTTTGTCATGTAATTATTATAGCAGATATTAACAAGTTTATGGCATCGTTCGCGAAGAAGGTTGTACTCATACTTATCTCTAGGATTTCCGTACTTGGCATATCGTTTTCTAAGTTTTTCCTTATCTTTTATAAGTTTTATTAGATTTTTCGTAAACCATGGTGGGTTCCTTTTATTTTAGATGTGTATTTGGGTACGTGATTGATAATTTCACTCCTCAGTTTTTTGTAAAATTCAGTGACAAAATCATTGACGTCCTTACAGTCCTTAAAAATGGTAAGCCAATCAGTACAAATCAATTCCAGGATTAACGAATCATAGTCTGCCTTGGGGAAATTACGTTTTACACGTGGCTTAGGTAGCAGATTTTTGTCGTATTCAAAATTAAGTTCTGATATTTCAATAAGTATAGGGGGATGGTGCAGATCAAGTTTACTTAACAAATCTAAGGGTTGAGAGACATTTAGGCATTGCAAACTACTTAAGGCCAAATCCAGGGTTCTACCATGTGAATTCCTTATATGGTTGAATTGGTACAGATTATTCATAGACAAGCAGTCCACCAGACAGCGTCCTAAATCATTATTATAATTAGTAGGAATTGTGTGATTGCAGTCATCGTTAAACTCCCAGTCAACAAAATTTAGATTAAAGTCACCCATCACAATTACATTATCAATATCGTTCAGCACACTGTCCAGATTATCTACGAAAACCCTTTGTTGCTACAATCTGGGTGGCGACGGTAAGTATACTGCACAAATAGAAAGAGTGTAATATGAGCCATTTATTCTGTTTCCAATGTTAACCCGAAGGTCTTCACAATCAGTTTCCCAGTTAGACATTCGCATAGAAGGTATTTCACGGGATACTGCTATTAATACCCCGCCACCATCCATGTTGGAGCTTGAAGCACTTGAGCGATCCCTACGGTATACAACATATCTAGAGTCAATGAATTCACTGTCTGAGATACCTGCATTTAGCCATGTTTCGGTAAAGATGATTATCTTATAACTATTTACTAATATGTTTTTGTACACTTCATTAGTCTTCGTTCGTATCCCACGGATATTTTGATAATATATATCGAATTTTTTAACTAAACTTTGTAACACTCGCTAATCATTAACCTAACTATTTAATTAACGTTACACTGTCCATATTACGAATTAACAATGCCTCGCTGAATTCATCCTTCCGTACAAAGATTCGGCCATTTCGTACCCAAGTGAACTTATATTTGCATTCCTTGGCTTTAATTCGTGCGGCAGCATGCAAATGCTTGTTTGTTGGAGACAGATGTTCAGAGACTAAGACTGGCTTACTAATACCAGCAAGGCCGAGGTGTTGAGAGCTTAGTTTATCCTTGGTATTTTTTTTTGTTAAACGCAGATACCGAAGCAAGAATAGTATCACGTTGTCTGGGTGCACGCAGCTTCAATATCACTGCACGTGGCCGATTGCTGTCTTTGCTTAGCTTAGAAACCCGTGTTACATGAATAATCTCCTCAGCAGATTCTTATTATTATATATATATTCTTCAGAAAGTTCTCGTGTCTGTGTTCCGGAATGCCATTTATTTCGATATTGCTGTCTCTCATATTTTGTTCAACTAGGTGGAGCCGATGCGTCAATTTGTCTACTGCTAGATTCAGCTTATCATTGTCCCTTCTTAAGTTATCGACTAATGTATTCCTTTCGTCCAAAGCCAATTTTAAATCTTCATACTGCCTGTTGAAAAACGTTAGAGATTCCCTCAGTTCCTTGATTTCACCCGACATATTCTTTATCTCTGCGGTCACAAGCTGCCTTATTGTTAAACGAAGTGCTCTCGCGAGTTCCTGTTGAAGTATGCTTCTCAGCTTAGTTTCAGTAATGTAATCGCCGCCATTCCCAGGTTCCTCTGATGAGCAGTCAACGAGAGAAATTGACTTTGCCAGATTGCGCTTCCTCAGGGTGATATTTCCGGAGTGCGGTCCCAAGTTTCCAGTACCACAGGTGTTGCCAAGGTCTCCGCTTTCCACAAGGTCGCGACGAGCAGCAGGTTGGATGGGGCTGTTAGTATTATCCACTTTAGGTTGCTTACTGTAACATTCTGGACACTTCCAGCTATGCTTGCGATCTTTGTCAGGTGCATAAAAGCTATTAAAGCGGTTTTGAGATATATTGGCACAGTTTAAATCATACTTCATTTTGCATAAAGCGCATACCAAGAACTCACGGTTCTATATGATGCTGCGGCAGCCAGAACATATACCAAAGTTACTCGCAGTTGATGCCATCTTTCAATCGTTAAACAGTCAAAAAGCAAAAAAAGCAATTCGTAGTAAGCAAAGGTAGTAAAAAACAAAAAAAAAAGTTTTGTGAACTTGCTGGGCTTGAACTCGGTGACTTAGGTCGAAACGCTATGCACAGTGAAGTATTGCCCACTGCACCAATCGTCTCGCTACGCAGTTACGTGAAACAAGCGATATGTATTATCACCTACAGTTGTATAATGTCGACAACGATGAGTAATCCAAGTCTAACTTTCTATTTTCAAGGACACGTCGCGAACGAACACGACACCCGATGATACCCAATTGAATTATTACACTTAATAACGTATATTTATAGTGAAAATCACTTGATTATCTCTATTAAATATTCATGTTTTATTAAAATCACTGCACACACCGAACCGTTCAATATAGAGGGGGGGGAGGGGATTTAAGCTAAAAATACACCAAAATAACGATCACGTTATTTTATTTCCCAAATAAGTCTTATCAAAGACTTATTTGGGAAATAAAATAACGAGCGTGACCTACAACCTGACTGACCGCTGGGGCGGCCGCGCGCAATAATCAAATATTGGTTTGTCCTAGCCAGATATCACGCAGAAACTAACGGTGCGCATAGATGACCTGAAGCAAAAAATCGCTGCTTGGGGGAAGCGCATTCGACGATTTAGTGAGAGGTCAAGGCGGTTCAACTAGAATCGTCTCTTCCAGAGTGATCAGAAGAGGCTCTATAAATCATTGGAGCGACTAGAAGTATGTGGAGCGGGCGCAGGACCGGATCAGGCTGACACTGTCGCATTTTGGCGTGGCCTGTGGTCAGAAGCGAGTGCCCTTGGATGGAAGTTGTGGCGAGCCAGAGTGCAAGTGTTATGCTTATGGACCCCGTCACCATAACGCCTGAAGACATGGCTGAGGCGGTTCGTAGGGCCCCGAACTGGAAAAGTCCGGGGCTCGACGGGCTGCATCATTTATTTATTTATTTATTTAATTCTAAAACTCTTGTGGCTTACAGAAAATCCATTACATTACAGACAATATACATTAAAGACATTATAGATATTACAGAAAAGCCATTACTGGCTGAAGGGGTTCGTAGTGTGTCACGCTGTGCTCGCCCGACAGTTTCAAGAGGCTCTCGACCAGAAGTCGCTCCCGAGCCTCTTCACTACTGGGATCACTCACTTGGTTCCTAAAGATCTGGATACCACAGACCCGAGCAAATACCGCCCCATCACGTGTCTACCCACCATATATAAGACACTGACATCAATTTTGAGGGCGAGAATCACTCGTCACCTGGAGCTAAATCAGGTGATATCACGCGCTCAAAATGGATGTCGGAGCGGTGGTGGTGGAACCAAGGAACCACTCCTCATTGACGCGGTCATTGATAAAGTGGTGAAACGCAACCATCGGAACTTCTCCGCCGCCTCGATAGACTACAGAAAGGCATTTGACTCGGTGCCTAAAGAGAGTCCTCCAGCTGTACAAGATTGACTGTACAGTTGGAGACTTCCTCGAGCAGTGGAGTACGATCCTTTGCTATCTGGGCGAGAGGATGATGGCTGCGGTGAACCACATAAGGATAAGAAGGGGTATCTTCCAGGGCGATTGCCTGAGTCCAATCTGGTTTTGCCTCTCTCTGAACCCTCTCAGTACTATACTAGAGGGCTCCGGAAGGCGATTTCAGCTTTGCAAAGGAGGTACAAAATTGACCCACCTTTTCTATATGGATGACCTCAAGTTATTCGCCTCCAGTCGCTCCCATCTTATGGACTTGCTAAACATCACTTGTGAATTTAGCAATTCTATTGGAATGGAGCTGGGGACGGATAAGTGTGCGGTCCTCCATGTTGAAAGGGGAGGGGTTGTTAAATCGGAGGGCATAGACTTATCTATGCCCGTCAACTTAAGGACCCTTTCCGAGGCTGAAACATACCGATACCTGGATATGTCACAGAACATCGGTATCGATGAGGCTGGTATGAAACAGTCAGTTTGTGACGTGTTTTATGCACGCTTGAGCAAAGTGCCTAACAGCCTTTTGTCCGGTGTGAATAAGACACACGCATAATGGTTGGGTCATGCCTATCCTCATGTATTATACCTTTGGCATACTCAGGTGGACTCAGACTGAACTTAACACTGGATAGAAAAGTCCGCACTACCATGAAGTCTCATAGAATGCATCATCCGAGATCGTTGGTAATAAGGCTGTACTTGCCGCGAAAGCATGATGGGCGTGGCTTTCTGAGCGCGCTCACCATGCATAATCGGGAAGTGTGCAGCCTCCGTGATTACTTCCTGGCGAGATCGAATGATCCATTCTATAATGACGTCATTTCTAGTGATAAAGGGCTTACCCCTCTATCCTTAGCCAACGAGCAATGGCAGGACCCAGCAGTGTTTAGCATTTCCAACCGGGAGACCCTATGGAAAGAGAAGGAGCTGCACGGGAGGTACTACAGGGCTCTACATGAGCCCTTCGTAGATACAGTCGCCTCCCTCAACTGGCTACGTTTCGGTGACCTCTTCGGGGAAACAGAGGGTTTAGTGTGTGCAATAAAGGATCAGGTTATTAAGACCAACAACTACCGGAGATACATCCTAAAGGATGGCACCATCGACATTTGTCGAGCTTGTCGCTATCCCGGTGAGGCACTTAGGCATGTCATCTCCGGTTGTTCGGCGCTTTCTAACTCTGAGTATTTGCGCAGGCACAACTTAGTAGCCAGAATTCTACAGCAGGAGCTCGCTTTGAAATACGGTCTCGTGGACCGGAAAGTGCCATATTACAAATACTTGCCAGAAGCCGTGCTCGAAAATGACCGCGCCAGGCTCTACTGGCCCCGGGCCATCATCACAGACAGGACTATTCTTGCGAATAAGCCTGATATTGAGCTGATGGATCGGGCATAGTCAAGGATATTTTTAGTCGACATTACCATTCCGTATGACGAGAACCTCGTGAAAGCCCAAACAGATAAGCAATCAAAATATCTGGACCTGGCTCACGAGGTGACCGACATGTGGGGTGGTCTGCTGACCGAAATTATTCCTGTAGTCGTCTCTGCAAACGGGTTAATCCCAGCAAGCGTCTCGGGCCATCTGAGGCGACTTTGACTCCATGACGGACCGCTCCGGGCTCAAATGCAGAAGGCGGCGCTCCTCGATACCGCCCGCATCGTCCGCCGGTTATTTACCTTCCCCCCCTAACCCTCGGCCGTTTGGTCTCCCCTGCCGAGGGCTTCCATCTGGTTGGGATTTTATTTATTTATGTATTATTTATTTATTTATGTTAGTATATTAAATATATATTTAAGTATATTTATTTTTTCCTTTTATATATTTATCCAGGCCAACTAGATGTGATTACTCTATCAATAACCCAAAATAATAATGATAAAACGAAAAACATTACTTTTTTTCTCTAATGTATTAATTTAATTGCATAATATAGATATGAAAGAAATTTTATTTTTATAAAATTAAAATCACAAACGCAGATAACTGCAACTTTGTCCATTTGTCTGTTTTAACATTTGTCCTTTAGTTTTTTTTTATATAGGATGTGAGGCATTTTGTTTTAGAGGTGGATCCATCTGATTATAAGTGTCTAGTGCAACCTACGGATACTTCCAACCAAAAACCTAATTTTTAAGGAATAAAATAGAATAGCCTGTAATTAAAAAATTGTAGTGAAATAGTCATCGAGAAAATTCTATTATAAACAGAAACCGAAGTAATCCCAATAATATCGTATATTTTATCGTATTAGTAATATTATTACTTAAAGTTTGTAGAAAGCATTAAGGAAAATTTTGTTTTCTTACAATCTTTTTCTATTTTTGAAGAAAAGGATCACAAAGCGGAGTAACTGCGAACATCAATAACAAAGTTTAGCGCACAATGGCTGTATGCAAGTATCGCAGCTGTTCAATTTTCATGGGAATAATTTCTTACAAAACTTTTTTTCATTATGGCACTAAAAACAATGAAAAAATAATAAATTTTCTTTTTTACATAGTTTTAGTTTATGTTGCACAATTCGATTTTCATATGTGATCCTGTTTCTGCAATATAAATGTAATAATTGTTACACCGAGCAGCAAAGTCCACTTAATATTCTTGTTTGTTTCGATCAACCAGTAGCATACGACTTTTAAAAATGGGCCTATCATATGTCTGCTAACCTTACTTTTTTAAATTACAAATAAAAAATTATTATGATGTGCGGATGTTATTTAAGACTAAAAGTAGCCATAAATATTTCTTTAAAACTTCACGCCTATAATCCCCGTGAGGGTAGGCAGCGTCCCAAAAGAAGCGCGCTACTCGGCCCACATTTATTAACCAAAAATAGTTTAAATAAAAAATAGTGAAAAAAGTCACAGGACACAATCACATACTCAATATACTTTACGGAGTCAGTCCTATACGACATTCAAGGCAAGTAAAACATTTGGCACACTCTTTTTAAATAAAACTAAGTTTTTACGGTTTTTTTTTTCACGTATATTAACTTATTTTATATTGTAGAGGTTTCGCGGGCTTGAAACACTCGTTTTATTTTAACATAGACATAGGATATCGCAGACCACATAGACTTAACTTTTTTTAAATGAAATAGTAATTTAAATAATACTAGATACTTGTAATTCTTCGCCATCCATTGCTTCTAAAATATTAAATTTGTTAAAAAGTTTGCAACAAACACAACGATGGATTGCCGTTAAAATTACGGTGCACCATCCTTCATCATCATGTTCACCCTCGCCGAAGTGAATATTTTATGTCCATCGTTAACGAGCTGGTTTACTAACATCTATCACAAGTCATAAGATTTTTGGCCTTTTTCATTGTCCCAAATTCCAGTCTTAAACGACACACAGTTTTTGAAAATACACAAG